TCATTGGAATATATCCTAGAGAAATAACAGCTGTCACATAGATAGATATATGCACACCCATGTTCATTGCAGCACTATTCACAATAGCAAAAGGATGGAAACAACCTAGGTACCAATCAGCAGACGAATGGATAAACAAATTATGGTATATACACACAATAGAATACTATGCAATGATGAAGAACAATGATGAATCCGTGGAACATCTCACAACATGGATGAAACAGGATGGAATTGTGCTGAGTGAAATCAGTCGCAGAAGGATAAATACTGTATGAGACCACTATTATAAGAACTCAAGAAAAGGTTTAAACACAGAAGAAAACAATTCTTTGATGGTTACAAGGGTTGGGAGGGAGGAATTCACTAACTAGATAGTAGACAAGAACTATCTCAGGTAAAGGGAAGGACAACATACGATACAGGGGAAGTCAGCGCAACTGGACTAAACCAAAAGCTAAGAAGTTTCCTGAACACAACCAAACACTTTGAGGAACAGCAGTGTCGGGAGTCTGGGGACCATGGCTTCGGGGGACATCTAGGTCAATTGGCATAACAAAGTTTATTACTTTGGTGAGTGGTGTCTGGGTCTTAAAAGCTTGTGAGAAGCCATCTAAGATGCATCAGTTGGTCCCAGTCCACCTGGAGCAAAGGAGGATGAAGAACACCAAAGAAACAAGGAAAATATCAGCCCAAGAGACTCCACCAGCCTGAGACCAGAAGAACAAGATGATGCCTGGCTATCACCAGTGACCCTCCTGACAGGGAACACGGCAAAGAGTCCCTAAAGAAGCAGCAGAAAAGTGTGGTGCAGAACTCAAATTCACATAAAAAGACCAGACTTAATGGTCTGAGACTAGAGTAACCCTGGAAGACAAGGCCCCCGGACTCTCTGTTAACAGGGAACTAAAACCATTCCCAAAGCCTTTTCTTCAGACAAAGATTCTACTGGAGTATAAAACATAAAATAATACTCATGAAGAGTGTGCTTCTTAATTCAAGTAGGTACATGAGACTAAATTGGCATCTCCTGACCGGAGGCATGATGAGAAGGCAGAAAGGGACAGGAGCTGGTTGAATCGACACAGGTTGGAAAGGGGGAGTGTGCTGTCACATTACAGGGATTGCAGCTAGGGTCACATAACAATATGTGTATAAATGTTTTTATGAGAAATTAACTTGAGCTGTAAACTTTCACCTAAAGCACAAGAAAAAAAAAAGTATTCAGTTCATAAAAGCCCATTGCCATTGAGTCGATTCTGACTCACAGGGACCCTATAGGACAGAGTAGAATTACCCCATAGAGTTTCCAAGGCTGTAATCTTTACAGAGGCAGACTGCCACATCCCTCTCCTATGGAGCAGCTGGTGAGTTAGAACTGCTGACCTTTCAGTTAGCAGCCGAGTGTCTAACCACTGTGCAACCAGGGCTCCTTATCCATTTCATACAGGTCATCAGGTTTATTAGGCTAGGCTAAACTTTATGAAATTGCCATTTCTGTGGTCAGATATTTCACACTGGCACTTTAAAAATTTGCTGTTAATCTCTGTATCAGTTATTAAATGTCCTTTCTCATTTCTGTTTTTGTATTTCCTTTCTTATGAGTAGATTTGTTAGAATACTAGCTTTACAAAATATTAATTATGTATATGCAGAAAGGAGTATTATATTGATTTGGAATGCTGGCATAAACAAAGTTAAAGTTTCTTTACTACACTACTCTTCAGAGCCTTTAATATACTTGTATACGTTCTAAATCCCCCAAAGGAAACAATAGTGTTCAGTGTTTCCCTATCTTATTTGAATAAGGAACATCTTTTAATATCTCATGTGACTAATATTCCATGAAACATACTTCGGAAAATCTAGTGTTAGCTTCTTGGTTATTTTGAAGAATCAACTCTTGCACTTATGTGTTTTTTCTCAATTAAATACTTTTTAATTTTATCTTTGGAGCTCTGGTGGCACAGTGGTTAAGTGCTTCGACTGTTAAACAAAAGATCAGCAGTTTGAATCCCCCAGCTGCTCCTTGGAAACCCTATGGTGGGCAGTTCTACTCTGTCCTGTGGGGTTGCTGTGAGTTGGAATTGACTCAATGGCAATGGGTTTGTGTACAGTTCAAATTCATTAGCATGACATACTTGGGTCCTCGTAATCTGCCAGCAGTTATTCCTAACCCCATGTCCAAATTAACTGACTCGTGCACTTTGCATGCTTACCATATAGCAATCATACTCTTAGGTCTGAATGCCTTTGCCTCTTCTTTCTGTGCATGTTCTTTTCACATTTGTCTCCTTCCTCCACTGGTCTAAATAATAAACTTCTTTCCTTTTAAGAGATTTGACTAAAATTTAACAAAGCTTTCCTGACTTTTAAATCTGCTACATCCTTTTGTATAGTTTCTGGTTTTTTGCCAAAATTCTTAGCCTTGTTTTTCATCTCTTTGAACATAGTAAGCATAGCAACTTTAAGGAGTATATCTGATAACTCTACTGTGTGGATCCCCTGTGGGTGTGGTTCTATTGTCTGCTGTTTCTGATAGCTCTTTCTCATGTAATCTTGCCTCTTTGTATGTCTGATTATTTTTTATTGTGTGTTGGAATTTGTATTTGAATTGTGTGTAGAGATAATTTGAGGCCTAGAATGGTGTTATATCCCTCTAGAGAAGCCCTCATTCTGCAAGAGAATTAAACCCCTAATGCCCTAACTTTGATGAAGATCAAAGACTACAGCCTTCAGTATGGATTACCCCTCAACATAAAGAAAACAAAAATCCTCACAACTGGACCGAGAAGCAACATCATGATAAATAGAGAAAAGATTGAAGTTGTCAAGGATTTCATTTTACCTGGATCCACAATCAACACCCATGGAAGCAGCAGTCAGGAAATCAAACAATGCATTGCATTGGGCAAATCTGCTGCAAAAGATCTCTTTAAAGTTTTAAAAAGCAAAGATGTCACCTTGAAGACTAAGATGCGCTTGACCCACACCATGGTGTTTTCAGTCGCCTTACATGCATGCGAAAGCTGGACCATGAATAAGGAAGACCAAAGAAGAATTGACACCTTTGAATTATGGTGTTGGCAAAGAATATTGAATATACCATGGACTGCCAAAAGAACGAACACATCTGTCTTGGAAGAAATACAGCCAGAATGCTCATTAGAAGCAAGGATGGCGAAACTATGTCTCACATACTTTGGACATGTGTATTAGGAGGGATCAGTCCCTGGAGAAGGACATCATGCTTGGTAAAGTAGAGGGTCAGTGAAAAGAGGGAGACTCTCTATTGAGATGGAGTGACATAGTGGCTGCAACAATGGGCTGAAGCATATTTGTGAGGATGGCGCAGGTGTGGGCAGTGTTTCGTTCTGTTGTACATAGGGTCACTATGAGTTGGAACCGACTTGACAGCACCTAACAACAACAATGCCGTAACTAGGATTGCCAGAGAAAATACAGGACACCTCGTAAAATTTGAATTTCAGATAAACAATGAATACTTTTTAGTGTAAGTATCCCCCTACAATAAACATGTCCCAAATATTGCATAGGACATACTTATACTAAAAAATTGTTCATCTGAAATTCAAATTTAACTGGGTTTTCTGTATTCTTATTGGCTAAACATGTCAATCCTAACCCTAAGGCATCTATTGTATGTAATGAATTCGTCTCCTATGCATCTAGAATGGTACTAGCTATAGGAGAATTGACAAAAAATAGTTAAATCATTTCCTTGTTCTGTAGTTCAGATGAGGAACCCTGTGTAAGGTTGCTTTAGGGAGTGCAGGGTGTTTGGGAGCACTAGTAATTCACTATCACCTTAATACAATTTCAGGAATTCTCCCTTAGTTTGAAGTTGGGCAGCAATCCTTTTGAGAGCTGTTCTACTTCTGTCAAAAGCTCTATTCAGCCTCTCACCTACCTCTTTCTGAATTGGCAGATACCCTCAGGGGAAAAATGGCCTAAATGTTGGGCTCCTATTTTTGAATTTCTGTATAGATCCTGGCCTTGTGATTTTTCATGATTCTTCTAATTCTCTTACGCATTCAAGTAGATTAAAAAAAAAAGTTCAGTTTTTTCTAGTTGTCTTCAGCAGGAGGGTTGGTCTAAATCAATGTATAGTTTTAAACTAGAAGAAAACCCATGGGAAGAACCATAGTTGAACTCTAGGTCAAGATCTGAGTGGAGCAAAATACTCTCTTTAGGCAGGAAGCATATAGTTTATACAGAATTCCAGCTTAAGTGCTTAAAATACGCATGTTTTAAGGCAAAATTATAAAATGAATAAGCGATTTTTATCTACCCTGGAAACTAACAAGCTTAAATTTTAGTAAGTTAGGAGAAGTATTAACCACGTAGATTTCAGTGTCTTGGGTCATATGATCTAATTGCTTGGATGGAATATGAAATGATGTGATTTTTGAAATAGTATTTAAACCAAAAGTTCTGTTGCTGTCTTAATACATGTTTTCTTACTAAGGGCTTAAAACATTTTTAAAATATACTAAAGTAACTGTAATATAAACAGATGAATTGGAGAATTAGTGGTCTTCTGTGTGGTATTCTATGTCTGACACTCCATGGTTCTGTCAACCATCTAATGAACACCTCCCCCCACCGCCGCCACCTTCCAGTCATACATCAGTGGATTTCAGAACCCATCTCCAAGTTGTTGTTTTTTTGTTTTTTTCATTGTAGTAAAAAACATATAACAAAAATTGCCATTTTAATCATTTTTAAGTGCACATTTCAGTGGCATTAATTACATTCACGCTTTTGTGTAACCATCACCAAATCTATTTCCAAATCAAATTTTTTTTAAAAAGAAGTTTGCATTTGCTCTGGTTCTTGTAGTTTGGCTCTTTAATACTGTTCTTAATTTCTATCTCTAAATAACGTAAATAACTGTAGCACACAACTCACCTCTAAACGTACCATCAATGTTTCAGTAGAACTAAATATTTTTGCTCTTCTCTTTTCTTTTGATGATCACATCTTCAAAGTGGTATAGTTGTAAGAGAAGCTAGCAAACTTAATTTTTTTAAATTAGCTGTAATAAAAATTATTGGAAGCATGTTTTAAGTTTGTATTTCTGAAAATGTTTTTAAAGAGTTGTGAAGTTGCAACTGCCCTAGAAAATCGAAGCCACAAGGTCCGGTATTCAGAGACAGTGGAAAATGGATCAGTTATATTTTCTCTTTCTGGTACAGTATATTTGCTAACTTTTTATTTAGTTTTCTCATAAAATATGTGGGTATAAATTCTAATACTTTTGTAGTTCAGTAACTAAGTAATAAGCTTAAGTGTTTTGGGATAAGTAAATGTTATCAAACTTTGTTACTGTTGAAAAGCAGTGCATATTATCAATTACAAAACATATTCCTTTACAGATTACAGTTATTAAAATAAAGCAGGAAAAAAAAACTTGCTCTGGAACTAAGATGAAATTAAAACAAAGCCACTTTCCCAGCCATCAATACTTAAAGTATTACCTGTATTAATGAAGAAGCCAACATCACAACATTGGTCAAAGTTCATATATAAAAACACAATATAGGAAAATTCTTTTTGTGATTTTGTACAAGAGTTTACTGAAAATATAAACAAATACTAAAAGAACTATATATATATATATACATTTTTTTTTTGCTTGTAATTTTTATTTTTTTTGTACTTCAGGTGAAGGCTTACAGAACAAATAGTCTCTCATGAAACAGTAGTACACATATTGTTTTATGACATTGGTTAACAACCCCACAACATGTCAACCCTCTAACTTCTCAACCTTTTTTTTTTGGTGAAAATACACATAGCCAAAGATACAACATTTCAAAAATTTCTACATGCACAGTTTAGTGACATTGACTACGCTCTTCCAATTGTGCTGCTATTCTCTCTCACTTAAGATGAAGGCTTACAGAACAAAATAGTTTCTCATTTAACAGTTACTATACATGTTGCCCTATGACAATGGTTAACAATCTCACAAAGAACTATATATATTTTTTAGAAGAAGTTCCTGAAATCATAAAACTGTACAACTGTGAGTCCTGGGCAAAGGATGAAAAGGAATTAGGATAAGAGAAGACTGGGGAGACGGGAAAAGGCAGTTCCTCTTATGCTTGGGAAATGATAGAAGTGATAAGAGGTAGAGATAATGTGTTTTATGAGGAGGGTTGCAAATGGCCTTCCACTCTGGCAGACGTTTTGGAAGGCAGGCTCTTTTAAAAGTTCCTAGAAATAGACCTCCAGACCAAAACTGTTTCAGCCTCTAATGTATCCTTCCTGGTAGAATAGAGAGCTCTCCAGAGAGAAGTTAGACTGCTTCTTAGAAGCGAGGATGGTGAGACTACGTCTCTCTATGCTTTGGACGTGTTATGGGGGGGAAGGGGGGAGTCAGTCCCTGGAGAAGGACATCATGCTTGGTGGAGGGTCATCGAAGAAGAGGAAGACCCTTGATGAGATGGATTGACACAGTGGCTGCAACAGTGGGCTCAAGTATAATGATTGTAAGGATGGTACAGGACTGGGCAGTGTTTCTGTTGTGCATAGGGTCACTATGAGTCGGAACTGACTTGATGGCACCTAACACCAGCAACCAGGGAGAGGTAAAATATTTCTGGTGAATACCTACTATGTACCTTGGCCACTTTATATACATTATCCTACTTAATCCTTCTAACAAACCTAACAAAGAAGTATTATTCCCTTATTACAGATAAGGAAATTCAGGTACAGAGAGGTTATATAAATTGCCCAAGTTCACAATTCGTTATATAGTTACATAGTTGCTTTCCCCAAATTATGTCTCCCCTACGTCTTTGAAAGAGCTATAATAATTAGATCAGATTTCTCTTCTGAGCCATCCTTACAGGCCTGATACTGTTTCAGAGATTCCAGAAATCGTCTCAGTGTATTAATTTATCTAATAGTTTATGTTCTGGTAGGAAGGTTTCTCCAACAAGAAATAATTGAAGGCTTGCTTAAGACTACCTTTCTTGATTTCCATCTTTTTAAAATCATTATAACATGGAAAATTAACTTTTTAAATATGTCATCTTTTAAGTTAAGCATTACCTTCATGGTTAACTTATGAATAGTGCCATAGTCTGTAAAAAGAATGGTAACTGACAAAAAAAGATTTTTCCCCTTAAATATTTAGAATGTCTTTTTTTTTTTTTTTTGTATAGAGCACTTCAAAGAATTACCTATTGTCTAGGAATTTTGTTATGGTAATTACTACTTATGGGTGGTCCTTTAAGGAGTCCTCGTGGCACTGTGGTTAAGCACTCGGCTGCTAACCAAAAGGTCGGAGGTTCGAACCCACCAGACTCCCCACAGCAGAAACGTGGCAGTCCGCTTCCATAAAGATTTACAACATTGGAAACCCTATGGGGCAGTTCTACTCTGTCCTCCAGGGTCAGTATGAGTTGTAATTGACTTGACACCAATGGGTTTGGGTTTATGGGTAGTTGTTTAGGGCCTGGACACCTTTTATGTTACAGGAATTTTTGTTGATTTTGCTGAGTTTACAACAAAATCTGATCTGTATGACAAAGTGATATTTTGTTATTTGTCACAAATACTATATTCACCTTCCCTAGGAGTTGCATTTTTATTGATGGATGCCAAAGAATGTCTTATGTCAGCTGAAGAAGTATTTCTAGCCAAAATTGAGAAGTTTATAAACATTCACCAGAATAGTTTTTTGGTTCTATCTGCTGCCCTCCATGGGCCTGAGGAATGGAAATTGATGTTCAGGATTCAGCAGAGGTATGGAAGAATATCACTACAGACATATTTTTCTGAAATTTGTTCTTAATTATTTTAGGCAGGCAAGTTTTGTTTTGCTGGAAAATAAACTTAATGTTAACCTGTCATATTTAATGAAGCACAGGCCAAACAGCTATTCTGTCAATCAGGGTGACAAGTTTCAGAGTTCATGCTGATTTACGGGCTTCTGAAAGATCTAAACAAAAACGAACATTTCGTAGTCAATTAAGTACTGGCTACAAAGCCACCAAAAATCCTCTGTGGAATAAGGCAGGGCATGAAGGAATAAACAAGTAACAATAGAGGTTTGTGTTTTTTTTCCACCTACTTAACAGATGTTAAAGTTATATGATCTCCATAACTTATAAACTGTTTTTCAGATTCCTGGGTAGTAACTTACGGATACTTCCAGTACACAACACAGGAAATGCTATTAATCTCATGTGCACTATAGCTAAGGTGCGTTACCTGAAGAAAATGGCACACACACTCATAGACTTTAAGATTCTTGACTTCACACTGCACACCCTCTTAAGCAGGGTTGACAAATACCCGTTTCTGTTCCCTTGGAGAAGTTGCTATTTCAGCATGCAACTCTTTCCCAACTTCTCAACTTAACTTCAGGTACCACTTTCAATCTATGACTCATTCTGGGCGAAAAGAGTATTTGGTCATATATACATTGTGTTGGCCAGATTGGTTACTTAAATCTTCCTTCAAATTCGAAATTCTATAAAGTATGAATATTGGTCAGAGCATGGTCATGAACTTTCAAAGTGCAAACATACTATTTTATGGAATGCTGTTCACCAATTGTCCACTTTATTTTCATGCTTGTCCTCTGTGGGATGTGCCCAGACACCCCCAGCCCCTCCAGGTAGAGTTAGGTATTCCTTATCTTACACTGGAACACATCTCCATTAAAGCAATTCTTATAGTATTCTAATTTTTAGTTTGCATGTTTGAAATTCCTTGAAGATAGGAATCAGATATTTTCCTCTCTGCAACTCTAATACGTCGTATAGTATTTGGCACACAGAAAGTGATCAAGAGATATTTGTTGAATGAGTGAAAGGTATTTTTTGATATGACTCTGTAAAAATACCTTATTTATTTCTGTTAATAATGTTGCGTGTTTATATCTTCTTCCAGACCACCTCCAAGCCATACATAGATAGCATCTGCTACAGAATGATAACAGCTAAAGCTTACATCATTGAACAAAGTCCTGTTTGGAAAACACTTCAGAAGATAAAACTGAGTAGTGATTAATTTAACTCAAATTAGAGAATCAATTATAAATGCTCTTTTGGAAGAATACTAAAATAATTAAACCTGTTAAATTATAATGTACAAAAATATATTTAAAACATTTTTATATTAACTTAAAATACATACAATTAAAAGTGATTTTAAGGAGTTTTGTTACATAATTCCTTTAATAATGTTAAGAAAAAATTGGTACATATATTTTTTTCTAATAATTAGCTCCTTAGAGTAAAGGAAAAGCCATTTTTTAAAAAAGGTTTTCCACAAGGGCAGCATGTATTATTTCTAAAGTTAATTTTCACACATCCTTCCACATTGTAACTTCTGCTGGACAGATGGTGTGATGGGACCCTGCTCCCTGAGACTCCTCCTGAGGCAGGGAATGAGAGGGAAGCTAAGAGAAGCAGTCAGCTGCCTGAACTCAAAACATTCTTCTCTCTACACTCTTACAGTGGTGTGACATCCAGTTTCACACAGGGAGTCCTAAAATGTAACATGGCATTTAGCTGGAGCAGAAAGTTTATCAGTATTGTCAGAAACTCACATCTGCATTAAAAAAGGCGATTCAACTAAATTTTATGAACTTATAATACAAAATTATTAGTCTGTAGTGGATTTTTTAAAGTAGCATTTAGAATACATAAAGGGAGTTATTTACCATGTAGGTAACTTTTTAAAACCAAAAAATACTACTGGTCCATGTGTTATGAGGCAAACTGATAAATGTGAAAAGCTACATTTATTTTTCTAGCAGTAACTTTTTTACAGAAATTTTTTTAAAAAGGTATTAAATAAATCATAATAGAACATATAATATTTTACTAGTTTTTATTTAGGAGGTGGAATCTTCACTTTATCCCAGTATTTTCTTCAGAGGTAGATTTTGTTTTTATTTCAATGAGTTCTTCTACTCGAGCCAGAACACTTTCCATCAAATCAAATGTGAAGAGAGCTGAATATAGGACCTATAATGTCAAAAAAAAATCTGTATTACTAATGCTGCCTTTAAAACCAAACAAAGCAAAACAGAGAGGACTTTGGCTAGATATACACTTAGAAAGCTTAGGGAAACTTCAGTTTACCTTAAGCTGCATTTCAGGAGGCATGTTAGGGATCTCCTCTCCACCTACAGTTACAGAACAAATATCTTTAGACTTCTGGGCTTCTGTAAGAAGAAAAAAAACTGTCACATCCATTAAACAGCTCCAGAGTTCAATAATAAATTTATAAGCTGCTCTCATCATTAACTTTAAAAAATATGGCATTATTTATATAAATTAAGTTTTACTGCTTGAAATCTCAGGGTATGCTTAAGTCAAACCATAAACAAAATTAAATATCAAAATTATATTCTGTAACATGTAAACTAATGTTTCTTTAGGTGAGTAGCATTATATTGGCAGGTACAGGAAAATGAAAGTTTATAAACTTGTTTCATCAGTATATAATCATGTTTATACGCAATACACTAAAAGACAGAATTTTTAGTAATGACTATAGAAATACCATTATATCTATATGGACATGATCACAAGAAAATGTATTGCAGAACTGCTGACTTAAAAGTAATTCTGGATCTAAATTTCTTTTTCATAATTTGTACAGATTTACTTGGGGGTGAGCTACGTAGGGAGTGGAACCAGCAAAACCAAAGGAAGTACAATGGTACCCAAACAGAAATACTTGAAATGCAATCATATCATTAATCAGAACTTTAGGCTTTAAACCACAATATACTTTGATTCAAGTCTTTGTTAACCCAATTTCAGTGTTAATTGTCTTATGGAGCTGCTAAGAATCATTTTAATTTTATAAAAAATGATTTAGCTGTCATTTTCCCTTGTTTGGTATAAATTAAACAAGTACAAGATAAAAAGCTCTTTATTTTGAATATAAATGTTGACAATTCCAAAATTTGGCTAATTTTTAGACCTAACAGAAAATGAAATTATATATTACCAACCGTGGCTATTTTCGTGATTATTTTTAATTTCTGCTTCATAATGTGCTTTTGACATATTAAGTCCTATATGGAGTGGCTTTAAGAAATTATTCGCAATCTTTCCAAGTTCTGTCCATAATCCAGTCTGTTCAGAAGAATTAATGAAAAAATCAGTTATTTGGTTCAACATACACTGATTGCTTACTATTACTAAACGTGTTAAAAGCTGAAGAAACAAAAATGAGTAAGACATGGCCCTTGCCTTTCAAAGACCTCACTGTCTACTGGGTAGAGTTTACTGTTTCATAATACATTTATTACTACATCTAGTTATTTTATGTGAATACCAATCAAAACAAAAATGTACTCAGGGCAGTACACTCATTACTGTACCATCTGGGCAGCTCCTGGTTTTGAGATCTATAACGTAAAAGGTTTTAGAAAGTTATTTGTTGGAGGATAATCTAGTCTGAGAAATTTCTCTTCCCCTATAAACCATGCCCACCATGACTCCACCTTGTGCTTCCCTTCAAACCTTGACCTTTTAGTTGACAGCCTTGCCACAGATCTAGTTCTAGAGTATCACCTTCCCTACTGATGGAGGCTCTTCTAAGCTGATTTGGATTTCCTTGGTGCCCAATGTAAAGGAGCCCAAGTGGTGCACTGCTTAAAGTGCTCAGCTACGAATCAAAGTCAGTGGTTCGAACCCAGCTGCTCTGTGGGAAAAATGTGACAGCCTGCTTCTGTAAAGATTATGGCCTTGGAAACTCTTAATGGGGCAGTTCTACTCTGTCCTATAGGATCTCTCTGAGTCGGAGTCGGAGTCGGAATTTACTTGACAGCAACAGGTTTGGTTTGGGTTTTGGTGCCCAATGTAGATTTTGAGATTTTACCTGCCTAGGACAGCTTAAAGTTATTTTGTCATCTATCTTAGAGGCTTCTATTCCAAAGTATGTCCTCCTGCAGCAGTACAGAAAGAGGAATTGTGAAGTCTAAATTTTATAGAAAAGAAGAAAGAAGAGCAAGAACAAAAAGGGAAGGAAAGACAGCCATTGGTATTACATTTCCAGGTAGTCTTAAAAAAAAAAAAAATCTCGGGTTAAAAAAAAGAAACTTAGGAACTCAATTATCCTTAACTGGGACAATGCAATGGACTACTTGAAAACCTACTTATAATGAACTTATTTTGATCCAAGACTTTTTACTGATGGCCCTCCAAATAAAATCTACACATATCTATCTTGAATACTGATAACCACAACAACTGTCACATATCCTTTTCATGTAAATCTATCCTTTCTCCTGAAGTGCTAGGAAAAGTGCTAAGGAGGAACTAGGAAAGAATCGTACAAAACCTTAACAATATGCATACCCTTTCATTCGGCTTATACTTACCTTAGGGAAATAATTAAAGATGGTATAATGATTCTATTGCAGAGCTGTTTACAGAAATATTGTTTAAACAGTGAAAAACTGGAATTAATGAAAATAATTCACAATAGGGGATAGGTAAATTGTGGTATATCCACCAGACAGAAAACTACAAAGCCATCAAAAAAAATATTGTTCTTCAGGACATACTGTTGAGTGGAAAAAAGGTTACAAAAAAGTATGTCTCTTATACTATGATCTCATTTTTCTTTTAAAAAGAAAAAAGGTATGTATAGTTGTGCTAACACAGAGCCTAGAAAGAAGGTATACACTCTATCAACCATGGATGATGAGATTTTGATTATTTTCTTTTTGCTTCTTTATCCTGATGTTTAAACAATGAACCTGTTTTAGTTTCATAATTAAAATGTTAAAAAATATGCTTTTACACTTAAAATTTTTTTTTATTGTTGTAGTTTAAATGAAGTTTCCATTTCAAGTTAGTCTCCTATACAGAAATTTATACATACATTGTTATGTGACCCTAATTGCTCTCCCCATGCTGTGACAGCACACTCCTCCTTTACACCCCTGATCCCCCATGTCCATTCAACCAGCTCCTAATCCTCTCTGCCTTCCCATCTCACCTCCAGACAGAAGCTGCCCATTTACTCTCTTGTATCTACTTGAGCTAAGAGGCACACACCTCACGAGTATCACTTTATGTCCCACAGTCCAGTCCAATCTCTGTCTGAAGAGTTGGCTTTGGAAATTGTTTTAGTTCTGGGCTGATACATAATCAGGGGGCGATGCTTTCTGGGGTTCCTCCAGTCTCAGACCATTAAGTCTGGTATTCTTATCAGAATTTGAGTTCTGCACCCCACCTTTCTCCTGCTCCATCCAGTAGTCTCTGTTGTGTTCCGTCAGGGCGGTCATTGGTGGTAGCCGGGCACCATCCAGTTCTGGTCTCAGCCTGATGACGTCTCTGGTTTATGTGGCCCTTTCTGTCTCTTGGGCTAATACTTTCCTTGTGTCTTTGGTGTTCTTCATTCTCCTTTACTCCAGGTGGCTGGGACCAATTGATGCATCTTAGATGGCCACTTGCAAGCTTTTAAGACCCAAGACACCTCTCACCAAAGTAGTATGCAGAACATTTTAATAAGTTTTGTTATGCCAACTGACCGAGATGTCCCCTGAAAGCATGGTCCTCAGATCCCTACCCCTGCTACTCTGTCCCTCAAAGTGTTTGATTGTATTCAGGCAACTTCGTAGCCTTGGTTTAGTCCAGCTGTGCTGACTTCCCCTGTAGTGTGTGCTGTCCTTCCCTTCATCTAATACTTGTCTACTATCTAGTTAGTGAGTAACGCCCATCGTCCCTCTCCACTCTCGTAACCATCAAAGAATGTTGTCTTCTGTGTTTAAACCTTTTCTTGAGTTCTTATAATAGTGGTCTTACATAATATTTGTCCTCTGGCTGACTAAATTCACTCAGCATAATGCCCTCCAGATTCCTCTATGTTATGTTTCACAGCTCCATCCTTGTTCTTTATCGTTGCGTAGTATTCCACTGTGTGGATATACCATAATTTCTTTATCCATTCGTCCGTTGATGGGCACCTAGGTTGTTTCCACCTAACAGTGCTGCAATGAACATGGGTGTGTATATGTCTATTCATGTGATGGCTCTTATTTCTCTAGGATATAT